TTCACTGAAGGTAGCACACCACAAATACACCATGTAGAAAAATCAAAGGACTGCTGGGAAATCAAGGGAAAAGCACAATGTAGTTACTCGCGTAGCAAGTGCAACTTTATGGAAAGACCATTGGGGTGATTTCCTTTGTTTTTGGAAACGGAGCGTGAAATCAATCAACAGTCAAACCAATGCACAAACCAATGAATGATTGATCATGTCTGAGGTAGCAAGGCAATCATGGCTTTCTCTAATTTTATATTTTTTTAAACATTTATTTAGAAAACTATACTAGACAAAGATAAATCATCTTGGGCCAAACGTCCTAAAAATCCACATTTCCTACATTTGTCTTTTTATAATATAATCTCTCTACATGACTTTGAGAAATACGGCATCTCTCAGCCACTCGTCTCTCCTGGAATGGATGCTTTATAGGCACAAAAGGGTGTTTTTGACGCATTCGAATATTGTGTAGTACATCATCTGTGCGTGCGCTCTAGAAATGCAGTGAGGGTTCGGATGTGCTGCTGCCAGAGGCACAAACTGTCGAAACAATGCTTTAAAGGGAGAGTTCACGGCAAACACTGTCAAAACAGGCGAAAACTTGAACAGAACAATGCTGGGGGCAACATGCGTTAACAGTTTAGCATTACAAGACCGATTCGTCTTCATATCCACTGATGTTTACGACGTTTTCCGACTAAACTAATAACCACGTCTGTAGAAAGACAACGTGCCGATTTGAACAGCAACTGATGTGAGCTGCGTGTGGTAGCAGTGTGGTTCCTTGGTGAACATAGAAATAAAAGCATACAGGTTACACGATAAACACTGAATAATCCTAAATAATCATCAGAGTATTAAAACAATGGGCAGATACACCTCACGTGTTGATCAAATGTACAGTTGCATAGTACAGACAGACGCAGTAGTAATAGCCATTGAATGAACTGTGTGGTCCTGTTCCAGAGTCTTTGGGTTCGAGGACAAACACCTCTGTCGAGGGAACAGCCGGGAATCTGCATCTCTGGAATGGGAATCTTCTTGTCATGTGGAGTTAGACACTGCTCTTCACGTCTGCGAGATTTCTTCTCTCCAAAGGGATGTTCTGCTGAAAACCTTCACATCACCTGGACACAAACATTCATATATTGTGTAAAGGCCAATTCACACCGCACAGACAAACACCAACAAACAAGTTGACTCAAGCTGGCTGTTGGATTTAGAATTTCATGAAAAATAACTGTCATGTTCACACTGCCCCAACAAACTTTGAGTCAAAGAGAGTCAGGTAACACCGTGTCTACACCGGACGCAACAGTTGTCACATCGCGCCGCATCCAGTGTACTGATTATAATCAATAGAACCTCATTGTATTTTGTCGCACCACGCCGCTCGCGTCCGGTGTAGATGGTTTAACATTGGGGGAAGTCTGACTGGGGAAGAAACGGATGATACTGTAGCCACAATCAAAATTTTACTGTTATTAATGTCTTTGCGTGTCATTCTTCGCCTGAAAGACGGCGAATAAAACGAAAGAGGCCGTTTACGACGTTTTCCGACTAAACTAATAACCACGTCTGTAGAAAGACAACGTGCCGATTTGAACAGCAACTGATGTGAGCTGCGTGTGGTAGCAGTGTGGTTCCTTGGTGAACATAGAAATAAAAGCATACAGGTTACACGATAAACACTGAATAATCCTAAATAATCATCAGAGTATTAAAACAATGGGCAGATACACCTCACGTGTTGATCAAATGTACAGTTGCATAGTACAGACAGACGCAGTAGTAATAGCCATTGAATGAACTGTGTGGTCCTGTTCCAGAGTCTTTGGGTTCGAGGACAAACACCTCTGTCGAGGGAACAGCCGGGAATCTGCATCTCTGGAATGGGAATCTTCTTGTCATGTGGAGTTAGACACTGCTCTTCACGTCTGCGAGATTTCTTCTCTCCAAAGGGATGTTCTGCTGAAAACCTTCACATCACCTGGACACAAACATTCATATATTGTGTAAAGGCCAATTCACACCGCACAGACAAACACCAACAAACAAGTTGACTCAAGCTGGCTGTTGGATTTAGAATTTCATGAAAAATAACTGTCATGTTCACACTGCCCCAACAAACTTTGAGTCAAAGAGAGTCAGGTAACACCGTGTCTACACCGGACGCAACAGTTGTCACATCGCGCCGCATCCAGTGTACTGATTATAATCAATAGAACCTCATTGTATTTTGTCGCACCACGCCGCTCGCGTCCGGTGTAGATGGTTTAACATTGGGGGAAGTCTGACTGGGGAAGAAACGGATGATACTGTAGCCACAATCAAAATTTTACTGTTATTAATGTCTTTGCGTGTCATTCTTCGCCTGAAAGACGGCGAATAAAACGAAAGAGGCCGTGGTTGAAGCTCTCTTTGAGTGAAATATGTGCATCGTCATGGCCACAACAGATTATGTCTGAGTTGATTCAGAGACATTCCACGACCCAACAAACACCGATTAAGCATGTTCAGTCGAGTGAAAACCAACTCTAACCAACGCCAACAAACGCCAACAGGGGTAACACACTGATCCAACAAACGCCGACAGACTAGTATGTTGGGCGTTTGTCGGTGCGGTGTGAATTGGCCTTAAGTGTCTATAATACATGAGCCAAGGACGAAAATCAACAAATCTACAAATCAAATGTAGGCTATCCACCTTATTCTTCCTGTAAAAATGGGTGTGGCCATTTGTAAATTTTATGGCTATAGTTGTGCTGCTTGATATTGCAAATTGGCGTGCCTTACCATATTACTTTAGTGCATTATCTTAATTATGAACACACTGGTTTGTAGTGCAAACAGTTTTACCGTTTACTGCACGTTGTAATTCTTCTCGCTATTTCACTATAGCAGCTAATGAACAGGAAGTCTTGCCCACAGACTCACTTCCGCGTTGAACAATAAGGTGGATAAACAAACTACACCATGATCTCATGACTTCAACATCACTAAGCTTTCGAAATCACTTTATTTAAAATGTAAAAGTTGGAAAGTTTGAGTTATAATTGTGTGCAAGAGTGAGAGTTTAAACACACCAAGGCTGTAAAAGCAGACTAGTCAACAGATGAGTTTATTTCTTTGGCGTGATGATGTTAAATGTCCCAGACAACCTCTATAGTCTCATTTAGCCACAATGTGAAAATATCTCGAGTTTGTTAACCATAGACCATATTTCAGGCCTTTAACCAAAAACCATTTAAAACCCATTGACATTGACTTTAAGATGATTGAAGCAGAATTCAAAAAAAGCTAATTGGTTTTTGGGTTTTACGACTCATTCCTGCAGCACTCCATGACATTACACAGTCACAATTTGGATTCCATTGGATTGCAAAACACATTAACAGTTAATTTTAATGTAGGCATAATTAAAATAATGCCTTGAGTAAGTAACTACTAATTCAGTGAGTGAATATTTTTTTATATTCAGATACGTCATGAGTTGTAGGCTGTTTTGTGAGTCTTAATGTAACAGCATTTCAGAACTGTTAAAGGAACCAAACTTAATGAAAACAATTTAGTTCCATTTTTTTTTTTTATAAAAACTTTCCTGAATGCACTCTTAAAAATAAAGATTCTTTATTGGCATCAGTGGCTCCATAAAGAACATTTAATATGCATGGAACCTTTCCATTGGACAAAAAGTTTTTTATAGCTGAACAAGGTTTTTAGATTATGAAATGTTCTTCACACCAAAATAAATAACGGTTCTTTTAAGAACCATTCACTCAAAGGTTCTTTAGGGAACCCACAATGGTTCTTCAATGGCAGTTTAGAATCTTTATTTTTAAGAGTGTAAGAACTGATTCAGTGCAGATGCTCCAAATTCATATAAATCATCAGAGAAATGTGACATATGGAGATGCCAATCTATCAGCTGTGATGGATCTTCTCATACAAGCTCATCACTAAGATGTTTACATCCAGCGATGGCTTGTAAAAACAAACACCAATTACAAATGTATTTCCCCGTAACCGAAACATGATTGATAATGTTTCTGTCTCAGCTGGTGCAAGCAAACTAATGGAGCAGAGAACAAAAATGGCCCATGCCTTCAGAGACTCTGTTGGGGATTGGATAAGAAAACAGGTGGGGATTGCTGGTCAAATGGTAAATAACGACTTTGTGGTGGTGTTAATGTGCATTCAACTCATAAATACGATCTATCTGACATGACTTGAACACACCATTAGCTCCAACCCTAATCAAACACACCTGAACAATCTAATCAAGGTCTTCAGGATTACTATGGTTACAGGCAGGTGAGTTTCTTCAGGGTTGGCGCTAAACTCTGCAGGACATTGGCACTCTTGAACCAACGCTGCCTATCCCTGCTTTAAAGGGATAGTTCACCCAAAAATGAAAATGACCTCATGATTTACTCATTCACACTCACAGTTTTGGCCGTTCATACGCACACCAATTGGGGGGAGTGAAAACGTGAACTTTTGAAAACATGTTTCAAAGTGCAAAAAGGGCATAATACAGCGTTTTTAATCATTTTCGCTGATTTGCGTGATATGAGTAGAGAATGAGTATATTAAAATATTCCTAAACAATATATCTGCCATTTTTCATCTGGCTAAGAATTTGGCCATAACTAAATATCTGAAGGCTGGAATACACTACATAAACTGAACAGATTTTAAAACACTAGGCATCATCCACTTCGTAAATGGTTACAGAGGAAAAACTTGGCATCATACACTAAACAACTTAGGTGCACCAGTCTTTCAAGCCATCCCAAACACAACAAACTCATAAAGAAACACGCCTTGTTGCATTTTTCTGCATAAATCTATCAACCCGAGTGCCTAAAATCTGCAGACCAGCTCTAATTTTGGCAGCTACACTCTAAAAAATGCTGGGTTAAATACAACCCAATTGCTAGGTTTGTCCCTATTTTACCCAGCACTGGGTTGTATTTAACCCAGCATTTTTTAGAGTGTAGTGTCTACTCCTCCTTACTGAAAAACGGGGCAAAGTCATGTAGTGCATTTCAGCTTTTAGTAGGCAGAATTGTGCTACCTAGCACCTATTAAAATGCCTTCTAGGTAGGCAGTTCACTAGCAAGTGTGATACCTGATGCAGCAGCTGGCGTAGTCGGTAGAGCTGTGATTCCAGCTGTTTGTTATGGTCCTCCAGTATCTGCATGCGGGCCTCCAGCCGTCCCTTGTGCTGTCGCAGGAGTTTAGCTTCAGCTAACAGGTCAGCTTCCTCAGGGGCCCCGCTAACAGCTGCGGCCCCCGCGCCGGGCTGACCATGCTGCTGGCGCAACTGTTCATACTCCCTCTGCAGGGTCCTGGCCACGGACAGACAGAGAGAATGTTTATATGCCATATACTTTTAACACCGGCATTTGGGCTTTTTGTTTATTGTGAGTTTGAGTTATGACTGTTGGATGCTGCGCCGGTTCTTTTATGTTCTGGCTTTTGAAAGGCAATGAAGAAAAGTGAACCCAAAGGGACCTGCAGCCAAATTCAGCCTATTGTTAGAAAGCTACAGAACAGCCCACTGCCAAACACACACTAAACAGATGCAAATCATAGCCAGACCAATTACGGTGAAGCTCTTGCACTGAATAATTGTAACCTTAACATTAATTAAATTAAAAGTAAAAGCATTATTTATTGAATGAATGGGAGAAACTGCAATGTACAATGTGGCAGCTCTAGTCCCGCCATCTAAACAAAACAGTTAATCGCCAATTGTTAAAGTCTGCTGTTAGAAGGTTTGGTTCCCATAAAATCAGTTAGTCTCCTGAGATTCATGCTTCATTCACAGCAAGATTAATATTTGGTGCAATAAACATTTTAATTTGAATGAACGGCTGTTTGAATGCATCTGTTTAGACTGACACAAACATTTGCATGAAATAAATAGAACAGATTTTTTAGAGAGGTATTGCACTGCAAAGAACACGGAATTTTCATTCAGCCTTTCTGCCATGTTTTACACTTTGCACATGTACATTTGCTATAGGTTTAGTGCTATTTTCGTGTAAAAAAAAAACAATATTTATGGGACAGTGCCTCTTAGATCGCATTGCTGATTTGAAATGTGTTACTTAGATGTGAGTTTGGCCAGCACCTTCTTGAGATTTCAGTGTTTCCTCATTCAAGTAGATAGTTGTTGTTCTCACTTAACTGAAATAGTTGCCTAGAAGCTTTGCAAATATGGATGCGGAGTGACCATAGTGACTTTCCTTGAACAGGACTTCAGATTGACCAGCTTAAAGATCACAGCTAGACTTCATAGACAATTCTCCACTTGCTCATTTGTTTTTCTTAAAACGGTGACTTGCAACTTCTAATTAAAAAATAAAAACAAGAGGATTTGTCAAATGAAGATGTTTTACATGAAGATCCACAGACTTTCCACAAAAACCAACGCAAGAAAAAACCCAAAAACAAGGTACAACAAATCATTTGGGTTGTTAGTCGTAAAGCTGTGATTGTCTTTTCTATTGTTATGTGAATCTGAGTGAAATTTTGTTTGGATCAGTGGATCATTGCTGTTTGCCAATTGCTGTGATCTGATGTGAATGACGGGTTGCTGGAGGGGAGGGATTATTGTGCACAGATAAAATGTTTATAATACACACTGCAATATTCCATTAAACAGTGACTTTGAAGTGGACATGAACGATTCATAGCCTACCGCTGCTCCTCCTCCAGTCGCGCTATGATTCGCTCCAGCTCTCCTCGCTCCTCCCTCTCCACAGCCTGCAGGATCTGGGCGGGGCTCTGGATCAGGTAGGAGGGGCTGTGAGTGTTATGGGCGGGGCTCCTGCTGACGTGGGTGGGGGTTTGGGGCTGGCTGAAGGATGAGCCCTCCCCTCCCAAAGTCTGACAGTACTGCAGAATTAAAGCATGTTCCTCGTCCCTACAGAACAAGAGAGAGAACAGGTTAGAAAAATTGGATTTCTACATTTTGCGGCGTAATTGCGCAAAACCTGCCACTACGTAAACCTGAGTTTCTATGACATTCTGGTCTCTAGATACATGATTTTTTTCTTCCCGCTTTATCCACCAGGTGTGCATTTCCCAAAAACATCGTAAGCATCGTAAGCAAAAACATTGAAACCAATGGAGCTACGATAAACTTAGGCTTACGATGCTTTTGGGAAACGCAGCCCAGGACAATACTAATACTAATGTTATAGCTACATGACAAGAGACGGCGTTGTCGTCAGATTACCTCAGGTCTCATTCAACGGTGAGAAAACATTACAGTATAAAGCGTATAATGTTACAATAATTACACTTTTCATTCTCGCTCGGTCTGCAATAGAATAATGGACCGCGCTGATCATGTCTGCGCGAACAGGGTGCATAAAGGTATGTAAATACATACATTGACAGGCAGGTAGGACCGAGGGATATGATTGGACAAACATTTAATGATCCTACGCCTTCCACAGACGATAAAAATACACATTTAAACCACTTAGTGATTGCGATCAGAATGTGAAGAGACTTTTAATGTTTTTAAACCAAATCACCTACACTGCTTAATGTGTTAAAAAATTATATGAGTTGTTTTTTTAATGAAATAATACTCTTAATATAAAACTAAAACCACCAGTAGGTGGCAGCAAGTCACTGTCTTAATGAGTGAATCATTCAGTCATTCTTTTAACTGATTTGTTCAAAAGGTTGATTCATTTAGAAACAAAGCAACTGACTCATGTCTTTATACGTGAGTCATTGAATCATTGACTCACTCGATTTGTTAGAAACTGCGGATTTATTTAGCAACGAAACATCGCAAAACGAAAAAAAATAAACGAATTGAGAAAAACAGACAATATTGAGTCACGATATTAACGTCTTGTTAAATGAGCTATTTATTTAAATCAACATTTTGGGGTGCGTTATACGAGTTCATTTTAATGTGTTAATTTTTCCATAAATAAACGCACCAAATGAATGTGTTAAATCAACAGCATAGCAATAGAACATCTCTCCTCAACAAAATGAGGTGTTATTCACATCTGCAGTGTGAACGCTACAGGTTATGCTCCGAAGTTTAATACTTTGAGTTAGGAATTTGAACAAACCCCAAATTCAGAGCATGAGCAATAGTCACAGCAGGGCTTGCGGATCTGCTGCCGTCACAGCATGTAAACCGTAACAGACAGACGCATAATTAAGATGTTCTTTTACGCCGCAGCGGGATCCAAACGCTGAGATTTGAAAAGCCGACAGGTGATAGTGAGTCTGACTGTGAAAATAGGAGAGAAGGTTTTAGACGTGTGCTGTCCAAACAGCTGTGCGCACAATGAGTCTCAGGTGTATGTTCACATGCTCTCCGGAATCTGAATGCAGCACTCCAGACACTCTGGGACAAAACAAACACAAGTGCACTTGTATTTCCGGAAGAAAACGGAGCGCTTGCAAGGCAGCAGAAGAGTGTTAAAGCTTCAGCTGAGAGGATACAGTGACACAGGGGTCTAAAACACACTGGACACAAGCCACACGTCAAAATGTTTGAATTATATAACATTACATGGAAATATTAAAATGTCATCTGCTATCAAATGTTACAAAGGATTTGCTCAGAATTAGATTCATGACTTGGTACTTATGCTTTTAACAAGGTGATTTTAGTGACTTTAGATATCAATCTATATCTATATGAAGCCTTCTCATGTGTCCCGGCAAAGTAACCACTGGTGTAGTTCATCACATCAGCTATGAAAACATATAAATACATTTATGTGTCTTCATAAAAAAAAAAAAATCATATTTAAAAACAAAACAAAAAAAACATTGCTTTGATATTTTTAAGTAAAAATTACATTCAGACATTTCTAAGTGTGGCTGTCTAAATATGCTACAGTGACACTATATAAATTAATATTGTTTAATAAATAACATGAAAACTATCATGAAATGACTTGGTTATTTTGCTTTAAAAAAAGATCCTAAAAATGATCCTTTTTAATCTTAATGATACCTAATTCTTTTTTTTTCTTCTTATTGATTCAACTAAGTGCATGTTAGGGTACAATTTGTTGAAAACATTAGTTAAGTACAGAATGTACCTTATGCTACGTTTATTTTAAAACAATAAAAATTAAAAGTAAAATAAAAAAGGCAAATAAATAAACTTACAATTGAAAAAAAAAATCTTAATTTTTTTATGCAAAATAAACATTTCTTAATTTAGTGTATTTAAGATATAAATATTGTTTAATAAATGGATGGATGGATAGATAGCTGATAGATAGATAGATAGATGGATCGATAGATGGATGATGATAGATAGATGATAGATAGATAGATAAATAGATAAATAGATAGATAGATGGATCGATAGATGGATGATGATAGATAGATGATAGATAGATAGATAGAGACAGATCAATAGATGATAGATAGATAGATCGATAGATAGATAGATAGATAAATAGATAGATAGATAGATGATAGATAGATGATAAATAGATGATAGATAGATAGATGATAGATAGATGATAAATAGATGATAGATAGATAGATAGATAGACAGATCGATAGATGATGATAGATAGACAGATAGATAGATATGTCGTTTTAACGAGAAAAGATGTCGTTATTACGAGAAAAGATGTCGTTATTATGAGAAAATATGTCGTTATTACGAGAAAAGATGTCGTTATTATGAGAAAATATGTCGTTATTACGAGAAAAGATGTCGTTATAACGAGAAAATATGTCGTTTTAACGAGAAAAGATGTCGTTATTACGAGAAAAGATGTCGTTATTATGAGAAAATATGTCGTTATTACGAGAAAAGATGTCGTTATTACGAGAAAAGATGTAGTTTTAACGAGAAAAGATGTTGTTTTAACGAGAAAATATGTCGTTTTAACGAGAAAAGATGTCGTTATTACGAGAAAAGATGTCGTTTTAATGAGAAAAGATGTCGTTTTAATGAGAAAACATCTCGTTATTACGAGAAAAGATGTCGTTAAAACGAGAAAACATCTCGTTATTACGAGAAAAGATGTCGTTAAAACGAGAAAACATCTCGTTATTACGAGAAAAGATGTCGTTAAAACGACATAATTGAGTGGAAAAAATAATATGTGTGCGGCAGCAATGCGTCACCGTATTAATGTGACCTATTTCTTTGGTATTTCCCCATGCGTGAATGTACGGATGACCTTGTTCAGAGTAAACATTAGACAGCATATGGCGGTAGTAAAGGAGAAAGAGTTTCAGTGTTTGATCTCTAGTGTAGCATCAGTGCAGATTTGAGACACGGACCTCCCTCTGAGGAGGAAGGCCAGGCAACGGCTTATTAGCTCTGTAATTATCATACGCTTGTTCTGTGAAGGACACCCGCTGAGCTCAGCATAAAACAAGCTCTGAAGACTTTAATGATGTGCGCATGATGTGCCAAACTCTTAAAGGGACATATCCTGCACTTCTGAAGCATTTCAAGTGCGTTAGTTTTCCACCTCCCACTGACTCTCAGAATTAAACCAGCTGCCTAAATGTCACCGTACCTTTAAGACTTCTCTATGTATATGCAAATCAGGGTGGCTGAGCTCCTGAATAGCTGATAGGTGGGCGGGCACATGTTTATGAGTTCACTAATGTGATTTCATAAATATGACGATTTAATTTATGGGGAGGAGCTCCGAGTTCTGAATTTTAGCATATATCTACATAACAGATATTTCAAATCATGTGATTATTTCAAAAGAGCAAGAACTTCCAAGATAGGAATTAGTAATAGTGATACTGTCCTCATTAAACACCATTAATTAATATTCTCATGAACTCATTCTTCACAGATGATGGAACTGACTGCTACTACATAACAGGCCGTTTGAAGACAGAATGTTAAGAATGTTAATATTTCACATTAATTTAAATATTTAATATCTCAACAGTCATTTAAATATTTATTATTTAAGTTTAGAGTATGATGAATTTAGACTTGAGGTCGGTGATGTTACATTAACATTACATTAAAAATAAAATTCATACATACCAATGTATTAATACCCATCTTCTAAGAAGAACATGATTTTAGTTTCTGAATTAAATAATTCAATTGGATTAAATTGGAGTGCATAATGTAAAAAACAGACGCTGATAATGTCCTGGTATCATAATGACGACGCAAGATGAAATTCTTAAAAACAGATTGAGTAGCTTAGCAAAATCTTTTATTATTATTTCTTAAATTATTGTTTTATTTTTTGTATTATTGAAAATAAGCAGTGACACTTGTTGTAATATATGAAAAATATTTGGCCTTTCTCCTAAAATATCAGATAATTTGGACGTTTGATGAAAAGACAGGGTTAGTTCAGGTTGTAAATGTAATATGGACCAAATTATTAATATTTAAGAATTAATCATTCGTAATATTTGTGTATAAAATATCTTCAGATTAGTGCTGTCAAATGATTAATCGCGATTAATCGCATCCAAAATAAAAGTTTTTGTTTACATAATACAGTATATATGTGTATACAGTGTATATTTATTATGTCTATATAAATACAAATGCATGCATGTATATTTAAGATAAATATGTTATGTTAATATATTAAATATATTTATAATATAATATATATAATATAAACTATAAGAATATAAATGTATATATACATGTAAATATTTTCAAAATATATACTGTATGTGTGTATTTATATATACATAATACATATACCCAGTACACATACTATATTATGCAAACAAAAACTTTTATTTTGGATACGATTAATCGTGTTTAATCGTTTGACAGCACTAAAGATATTTAAAAACCTTTTAAAGTAAGGATCGACTTTGTTAGGAAAATGTTATCACATGGTTACACCACATGACATTTTTAGAGTCATTAAATGACTTCAGAGTAAATGTAATATGGACCAAATTATT